ATTGTGTTTTTACATCGGCTGGGGAATTATTATTATTATAGTAGTTTTTGCCTCGTGAATATAAAACTATAAAACACTCTGGCGTCAAGATCGATTTGATCGCATGCAAATGTGTATTTTATGTAGGGCTGCGGGACAAGAGTGATATTTTGCGTGAAACTATTTCTAGCGGACGCCGACCACACAAAAGCTCGCGAGCAAACCTGCCTTGACTTAAATAGAGTGCCGTGTATAATTTAATAATTTAATCGGCTATATAAATTCATGCTTTTTTATTAATTAATATTGTAATTTATTCATTTGTAGATTCTTGAGCCACAAAAAAAAATCAATAGAGAGCAGTAATAGATATTATCATAACTATTTTTAGAGCTACAAAGAAAAAAATGAGCATGTGAATCAGTTGATTGGAAAAACTAAAATTTGAGAGATAATTATTAATTAATTGAGAGGCTTATTAATTAAAGAAAAATTGAACTCCATCAAATTGCATTTAATTTTTTCATTCTAATAATCCTAAAAATTAATTTAAACTATAATCTATAATTCTAAAATAAAAAAAATAAAAAAATATTTGTTAGAAAGTTAAAACTTTGGTTAATAATTTATATTGAATATTTATAAGGGCTTAGAAATTTGTTTGAACATAAGCATTTTTTTTAATTTCTACTATTAATTGAATTTATTTTGATGCCCTTACTTTTAATTTCTCGATTTATACTTGATGTCTTAAAATGGACTTGTTTGACAAGCCGGTTATGCTGCTGTTTAACGTGTATGTCCGCTGAGTTTTATTTTACATCGTTTTTATTCTTTAATGTTTTTCTCGACCGTGCACGCGCCTGATGGCATTAGCATTTTGACCGTGCGGCTTGTTTATTTGGTAAAAGCGAAAGGCCAGCACACGACCTATGCAACACCATGTCAAGCTGACAAGGCAGACGTTGAGGTGCGATAAAAACAAATTCGGGGGATCGTCCGGGGCAGACACCAGACGAAAATTTATCATAAAAAGAGGAGATGGATAGAGATTTGAACGCTTGAATTGCTGCTCAGGAGTGCAGGTTTTTTTTTGTATCAATGAATATAAAAAAGGCAGAATCTACTTTGGTCATTCTTTAATCCATTTTACTTTATGAAGTTGAAAGTCTTTATTTTTTTTATAAATTGAAAAATCAGCAAAATTTGTTGATTTACTATTGGAATTGATTGAGCAAAAAGAATTTTATTTAGATTTGAACTAATAAGCACTTGAGGAGATTTGCTTTGATCGTTAAATTCAGTTCATTTAAGTTTAAAAAATAATTATGGAAATGTGAAGTAAAAAATTAATCACTTTTATCAATTATTACTAAAATGTTTTTAATTTTGATCTAGATCTAACTGTGATATAGCTATTTTTAATAAATTATTGTCAAACAAGAATAATTTATACAGGAATTAAAATATTTAAGTGGCACAAATTTTGCAAATAATATTTCAGAGAAGCACCTTGAATTTTGAGTTTTTCACGTTTCGTCCATCATAAAGTTAAAATTTTATAGCATTTTAAAGATTATTAAGTGATTACATTGTGCTGATAGTTTTGAGCTCGGCTATATCAATGAGGTATTATTGTTGTAAAACAAATTGTCCTCTTTACAGTAATCGTGCACGTGTTCTCCCGATTGTTTTCGAATTTTATTCTTCATCTCTACTTTCTTCATTTACAATAATCCAGACTCAGGTTTTATGAATAGTCAAATAAAAGCGCGCGCCGCACGCGGAAATAATGGAGCAGACCGCAGAATCTTTCTCTGCAGCTCTGCTTTATTTCAGAACCGCTTTTTGTGCGCTTTCGAGAGTGCAGAAAAATGATTAAAAATCGGTTCACGGGAGCCGTGTCTGACCACCGCTCACCCGACATTCGAGATGCTCTTCAAAATCCAGTCTTTCTCGATCCAAAGCTGCTCAAAAAAGAAAACAAAACTCCTTGGTTTCTCTCGAAAATGATTATAATCAGAGTGCAGACGGCACGAGAGTAAGAGAATAGCAGCAGTGTTTTAATTCAACTATTGGTACAATTATAATTAAGTTATACAAATTTATAAAGCCATGAGTTAATCAAAATATGAAATGCTTAGATAAATATTTTTTGCGTTGTATGTACTATGAATGGAGAATAAATAAATAAATGAATAATTGGATCGATAGTGGTATATTTAAATTTATTTCATATGTTAACCTTGATGTAAGTATCACAAATCTAAATATAACAAAAAATTAAGGAAACTAATATTTTAATATAAAGCATCAAATGTATCAGTAAAAAAATGTAATCAATATAAATATAAACCAATAATAAAAAAGTTTATTTAAAATGTTATATTGCTGTTTTGTTATTATTAAATAAAATAAAATATTTGTCAGATTAAAAATAAATTGTAAAAGTTTAAATTATTTCAGTGAAAATCGTTTTTGATTTGCGACTGTTAACTATCATAATGCTCGTTAATTAAAAAAACTTTTCAGGGATGCATGAATCACGGGATCAATTAGTGATTATATTATTTCTCCAACAGAAACCTTAAAATTTTCATTTTCATATTTGAATTATATTCTTTAGCAATTGTATATTATTGGAATCCATTGGAATGAGAGTTGTTTTGTTAAAATCAACCTTTAATTAAACATTTATGTCAATGGTATGAGCATTAATTTTAATTGTATGTGAATTTTAGTCTTTTATGATTTATTATTTTAACAATCTTTCCATATATTATGTCCAACATGTGGCGGTCGTGGCACTCGTTTTCCGTAAACATCCAAAAATGTTTGCAATTTGACCCAAATTATAATTACATTCTTTTAAATAATTAGCAATTATTGTCAAATCAAAACTTCGGAATGGTTACTATGGTTAGTTAAAAAATTTGAAAACTTCAATTAAAAAAAAAACTAAACAAAAACAGCTGTTCTCTAAAAGGACAGCGGGCGTTAAATGATTGGCGAGGAGATAAGCAATAGTAAAACTTTCTTTGAAACAAATTAAATATAACAAATATTTTAAACATACGTTGCTCCAAATTCAAATTTCAACAGGTGTAAAAATTGCAAATTGCGACAGGCCGGAACCGGATCAGAGCTGAATAAAAAGCAACATGGCGGCGGCCAAGTTGTCAGGGGGCCGACGAGTTCCGCGGCTCGCCGGCAGGACGGCACCCTGTCTGTGGAGGGTGAAAAGAAAAGGTGCGAATTTACCTGGACAGGTGTTTGTTGTGGCGAGAGAAGAAGTGCGACGGTCGCGTAGACTGGCCTGGCTGCATGGCGTGCACGGTGTGCGCGAGTTTTTCGAGTCTGCAGCGGCAGGTTAGGCGAGGCGGCGAACGTCTGCCGGTCGCAGTGCAATGCCAATAGCCTGCCGAAGCCAGCCAGGAACACACAACGTTCTCCTCGCCATCGGCGGCCATGCCTCTCCACTCGATATCACCGCGCTCGCTCTCACACACATTCGTGCACGCCCGCGGAAAATTTATTGATTGCAATTCTGTGTAATAAAATAAAATATATACTAAAAACGCTATTCAAAATTTCTTTCAAAATGACTGAAGTTATGAATATAAGGAAAATTTAAAAATTAAATAATAAATATAAATTAAAAATGGATTAGAAAGAATAAAATTAAATTGAATTAAAAATAAGATAAAAAGCAACTTTTGAGGCAGTATAAATTTTAAGTGTTTGTTAATTGTTCTTTTTTGGAAGTGGATTCATCGCGGCTGCTTTTTTGTGTTGGGCTTATTACCAGACCTCAGGCCTTAAAACACCCTTTCTGATCATTATTCCATTGTTCACTGAAAATTTTTTGTAATATCTTGTGTAGAAGAAACAATAATAATAAAAATTAAAACTGAAAAAGTTGAAACAGGCAATTGAAAATGGAAAAAGTGACTGATCATGAATATTTGATCCCAAATGGTTACGAACTTTTCATCACAGTTTTCATTGATTGCAATGGACCAAATCTTAAAGTATAGACAACTTAATTTAATGCTTCCTTGCAGCTCGAAGATTTTTTTTATTTTGCATGTTAGTGCTGCTTTGTAAAAAAAAAAATCCAATTTTCTGGCGAGCTAACATCAATTTTGTTATTCAAACAGTATATAAATAAATTAATATCTTTTATTTTGAAGGAAAAAAGCTGTTTTACCGCTATAAATAAATAATAATTATTTTATAAATTAATGTTTATTACAATTTTAGAAAATAACTTGAAATTAATTATGCATTCAAGATGAAGAATAGCTGTGAAATAAATATTTATAAATAAAACTAAATAATTTATTATTAATATAATTGGTGTTAGTGAAAGGAAAAATTTATACCAGCAGATTTTCTGTAGTCATATCTGCGTGAGTGGATATTGGTTAATATTATTATCTTTTATATATTTCTTTTGTTATATAGTATTTAAATTTTCTGTCCGACAATTAATTCGTTATGTAACACCTATTAACTATCGAATGAAAAATTTGCAATAGGTAAAAATATTTTGACTTTTAAATCGATTACGTTCCGATTGTAAAGTAAATTATATTTAAAGAGTAAATATAGACCTGTGAAATAGACATTATCAAAATGCTGCAATTCACTTCTAGGCGTCTCCATCTACAGGAGAACTTATAAGTTATTTGGATGATAACTATCAGAAAAGAACGTCTGGTGTCGCTCGAGCGCAGCCGGCTCGAGAGCTTTTGGATTTGGACTTTGGACGTTCGTTAGTCATCAAGGGGCACTGAAATTGGACACTAAATATACTAATATATTATATTAATATATAATAATATTATTTTATATATATTTACTATATTATTAGGTCTAGCATATTTACTAATAAAATATTGGTCAATTCACTCCTAGGCGTCTCCATCTATAGGGTCCCCGTCGAGTTGTATGGACGATAACTGTCGGAAAAGGACGTCTGGTGTCGCGCGAGCGCAGCCGGCTAGAGCTTTTGACGTTTGTCAACCCGAAGCCCCAAGGTCAACGACGACTCCGCACCTCCCTCTTTCCGGCTACCAACAGCTGGCTGATCACAAGGGTTGCTCTCTCGCAGCAAAATCTGCATAATCACGGGTTCGTGACTCACTGAGAATCATCTTTGATTGTCCGCCCTCGCAAGCCGAGAACCGATTTCCGCAGCCCATCTACGTTGCCCGCTGCTTTTGGTGTAAAAAAATGTCCACGCCGGAGCCTATGCAACGGTTGTTTCAGTGAGTATTGTCAAATTATTGTTATGATAAAAAGTGTTGGAAAATAAATTTAAAATTAGCCATCGTTACAATGTTATAATTTTTTGACATTATCTGTTATCTGATATTAGTAAATTGATTTTAATTTTAATTAAAAACAATATAATTTTGTATGTGCCACGCACTCTGCGTTTAATTTTTACTTTCATTGAATTAAAAATTAAACAATTTTTTATTATAATAAAATTTATTTTACATATTTTATTATTATAAGAAATAAAATATATAAAGTTGGAAAGATAAATTGGGAAAAAACTATAGTTTTTTATTTAGCAAAATTTATAAATTTATTATAGACACATTGATGCCAACAAGGAAAAGTTCATCAAGAACCTGAGCGATGCGGTCGCAATCAAAAGCGTGTCCGCCTGGGCTGAGACGCGCCCTGAGATTTTCAAAATGATGGAGTGGGCAAAGGTCAGGTTGGAGGCTCTCGGCGCCACGGCCACTTTGAGAGACGTCGGCGAACAGGTTTTATTCAATCATAAAAATAATACATATCGAATTTAATTAAAAATAAAACCTCGTAAGGTGATGCCTGATGGAACCAAACTGAAGTTGCCCCCCGTTTTGCTGGGCGAGCTTGGAAACGACCCGAAGAAGCAGAAATTGTGCGTCTACGGCCACTTGGACGTCCAGCCTGCTCTTAAGGTTTTTGGCTTTTAAAAAATGTTTATGATTTTGTTTTAATTACTAAAAATTAGGAGGACGGTTGGGATACAGAGCCTTTTGTCTTGACTGAGAAGGATGGCAAATTGTATGGTCGAGGCTCAACTGATGACAAGGCGCCGGTTTTGGGATGGTTGCACGCCATCGAGAGCTACCAAGCACTCGGAATCGAAGTTCCAGTCAATCTGAAGGTTATTATTACTTTCATATCATAACTTTTGTAATTATTATAAGTGATTCATTAAAAATTTTAGTAAATCAATTTTGAAATGTTAGATTACTGTCAGAATAATAAGTAATGAATAAAATATTTTATAAAGTTCCAAAATATTACAAGAGTTTTCAATTTTGACAAAATTCAAATTAAAACTTTAAGAATCAATTTTTCTTATAAAAAGTGTTTAAATTCAACAGCTTTGGATTGATTTTAATTTAGAATAATGATGTCAATAAACTTTGAACCTTAAAATGGTTAAACAGTAGAAATATTTTTTAATATTGAAAATAATATTATGCAGTTCTTTTAATTTGTATTTTTTATTAATTTGTTAGAAAAATGATCCTTTTTTAAAATAATTTTTACAATTTTTCTGTCCAGTTTGTCTTTGAGGGCATGGAGGAGAGTGGCAGTGAAGGCTTGGATGACCTTCTGTATGCCGAGAAGGACAAATTCCTGAATGACGTTGACTTTGTCTGCATTTCTGACAACTACTGGCTTGGCAAGACCAAACCGTGCATCACCTACGGTCTCCGAGGAATTTGCTATTTTCACATCGACATTTCCTGCGCCGCCAAAGATCTGCACAGCGGTGTCTTCGGTGGAACTGTGTATGAAAAATTGGAAGACGAAATTTTTAATTTAATTTTTAAATAATTTTATTATATAGTAATGAGGGAATGGCCGATTTGATTTATCTGATGAACACTCTATTGGACAAGGACGGAAACATCCTCGTTCCTGGCATCATGGAGGACATTCCTCCTGTCACTGCCGAAGAGGAGGAAACTTACAGGAATATCGATTTCGACGTCAACGAGTACAGAAAGGACGTTGGCTGCACCAAACTGCTGAGAAATGAGGACAAGGTAAGTTAATTTCAAATTTGCACATCTTCAAACATTGCTAATTTTTTATGAAATAGAATTCAAATGTTAATTTTCAATTTATTTATTGCTTTGTTTTGTACTTTCTATTTCGTGGAAAGTGCTATCAATTTTGAAAGCTGCTCGCATCGTAATCAAACACAAGCTCATAATTATCTTATCTTTTGTGTACATACTTGTTCGTAACTGGCATTTATTGCCACTTAAAGAGTGTTTACTACTCATATCAGTAGCGTCCCCTATGAAAATTAATTACTGAATGACTAATTGACCTTTGAAATTTTTAACTTCAAGAAGTGATGCCTTTTTAAAAACAATTAAATTGTTGATGATTGCAAGTTAAATTTAATGTAAGAATTCATAAGTAAATCTTAAAAAACCTTTGGTAAATTGTTATAGAAAATCTTTAAATTTAAATTAAAAATATTAAATTATAATAAAATATTTTAATTACAATTATATGGTTATAAAAATATATTATTATAGAATAACATTGTAAATTCAACTTAAATAATAAATTAATTTTAAAAAGTTGATGATTTAAAATATTTATCTTGTTTTAATTTGAGAAAAAATAACTGATCGAATATTTTTCTGAATGTCATTTAATTATAGTGTCATTTTACTATATTAATTAAGCATATTCATTAGTTCTTTGATATTTTAAATAATACTTTGTTACATTTCTGATCAGATCCAGCTTTTGATGCACCGTTGGCGCTTCCCCTCGTTGTCCCTGCACGGAATTCAAGGTGCCTTCAGCGAGCCTGGCTCAAAGACTGTCATCCCGGCCAAGATTGTCGGCAAATTCTCTGTCAGGATCGTGCCAAACCAAACTCCTGAGAAGCTGGAGAAACTGGTCGTGTCCTATCTGAACTCCAAGTGGGCCGAGAGAGGCTCGTCCAACACCATGAAGGTTTACAATTATTTTTAATTCCAAAATTTTTTAAATTAATAAAAAAATCTTAGGTTGAAATGGGACATGGCGGACGCCCGTGGACTGCAGACCCCAACCACCCCAACTATGTTGCTGGAAGGAATGCCACCAAAATGGTCTACGGAGTCGACCCTGATTTGACCAGAGAGGGTGGTTCCATCCCTGTCACTCTCACTCTGCAGGTTTGTGAACTGAACTGAATCTTTTATCAAAATTATACAAAATATTTGCCCACAAATTGAGTTAAAATGTAGAGCATTACTTTTTTTAAAGTTCAAAGTATTGATTTAATTATTTATTTTTATTCAATTTTAAATCTGTTTTTTTTTTTTAAATATCAAATTTATCTTATTATTATTATTATTGATCTTTATTGACGTATTTCGCCTAAATAGTTATTTTTAGGTATCTAATTGTTATGTGTAAAACTTTATAAAACACTTTTAAAAATTAGCATATTTTAATTATTAATTAAGTAAGTGTTATTGATAAGTATGATTAAATAATTAATTAATTTAATTCGTAAAATTTAATCAAATTTTTATTTCAGGAGGCCACTGGAAAAAATGTGATGCTGCTGCCCATGGGAGCTGCTGATGATGGTGCTCACTCTCAAAATGAGAAGATCGATATCAGGAACTATATCGAAGGAGTAAGTTAATAAATATATTTAGCATTAATTATAATTTGTAAAAATTGATCTTTTGCAGACAAAGCTGCTGGGCGCATATCTCTACGAGTTGTCCAAACTTGAAAAATAAAATTTATGAAGTGAAAAAGACCAACTGCATGAACTCCAAAAAAAATATAATTGAAACATTAAAAAGACGCATAGGACTTACAATATACCCCAAATATTATGAACTTTTGTTATTTACGTTTATGGTTATATGAGCAACTAAAAATCCAAAATAAAGGATTGATATTTTCATACTTCTGCATTTCACGTTTCTTTTTTGTGCTTATGTTAATTGTTTTGACCTGCTAAACGAGTACACAATTAAGACATCTATTTTCAAGGTCCATCTCTTAAGTATGGCATATTAAACCCAATTAAAGGATTGATATCAATATCATGTAATTCAACGCATCTTATTTCTTACATTATTCATCATAAGTTTTTAATCTGCTAAATTTTTAAACAATATATTGATGAATTTTTATTGCATTTTATATTTAAAAGAATTAAGAGCAATTAAAGTTTGCGATGTTTTGCAAAAGAAACACTTTGGGTCATTTGGTACACAGAAATTTATTGATCATTACTTTTTCAAAGTAACAACTCTTCAAATTTCCAGCTTGTTTTTTATTCAACATTTATATCTTAACACGCACATATCCTCCATTATACAGAAAGTTCAGTGAGAGTGACTTGCAATAAAATTAATTCATAAATCGCGTTGCATATATTACGTGATAAATTTCAGTCTAATCAATTTACACAATAATTCAACACATTAATCGATAAAAATCAACGTAAAGTTTGGCAACCGTAACAGAAAAACAATTGTACGGCAAATCAATTTATTGCTTGTGAGGATTTAAAATTTTATCGTGCTACGTTTTTAAATTTTGTCCGTAATTAAGAAGGATGATCCGCAATTAATAATCATAATAGGTCGTAACAAGTGGTTCAATTAATTCTTCCGCAGTTTCTCATTCTAAAGAGAAAATTGGAGTCTAAACAACTCATTTTTTATTTCTTCATATGCAAATTCGTGCTTGCTGATGACACTGAGGTATTCATATGTACACAGGATTGCTCGTCATGATAAATTATTATTTTATTTTTTCTCCTTGTTATTTATACTCGCTGACAAGATTAAACAAATATTTTGGTTAATCTCTCGCTCTTGTGTGTATGATAAAGAGTTGTAGTAATAATTTAATTAAAATCTGCTCTTTCTTCGCCTCTTGTACAAGAATTATTGTTAATAATATTATTACACTTGTTCTTCACCCTAAAGCGCCGCATCTTTTTTAAGAGCGCCTATATCTACAAGATATTTTTTTTTTTTATAATTAATGCGTTATTTTTATACACCACAATCACTCTCATGCTTTCAGGTCCTTGCTTATTTTATTTTTTAACAGTTTCTCTCGCATAGTGATACATTTTAAGGTTCTACACAATTTTACGTAAGCTGTTTCCACGCTCTCCTTCTTGGTACAGTTAATCACAACTCTTCACCTCAAAAAAATTTCTTAATCGTCCGGCAGCTCACCTTCCTTTCTTTGTCAACATTTGTTTATTATTGCTTCCGAGATGTTCAACTCAAGGAATGTGTATATCAAATTAAATTTTTTGCAAATTAATTTTAGGAACGAAAAGGAGAGAACATTTTTACACGAATAGTAATTAATTAATAATTTATCACAAATTGGCAATAAAAGAAGCGATTTTTATTAATTAATAAAACACATATATTTATATAATGTAACAATTAAAAATTAGGAATGGTCGACCATATTTGAAATTTTTCCAATTTATTTTCCTTTTAAATGCTTTGAGAGTAAATTTCGCACTTTTAGAGAGCCTCTTTCTTTTTTGACCAAGAAGAAACAACTAAAAGTCGACTAGGACCACAATTAGTAGTACACGTTACGTAATTTTAAATGCACATTTAATCCGTAGTTATGATTTAACTGTACACACCCAGATGATCCTCTATATAATAAATACAGTTTATAGCCACTGATTTTTTTTTACGTTATGCATAACTACCTCTGCTCTTTATACAAAAATGATGAGTACATGAGTTTGCACCACCGGCGTGTAGTTATACATTAATGAGTTGTCCATCTCAACATAAAATTATAATAATAATAATACCAACAGATGAAGAGGAGTTTAATATATTAATTGTTTCCGCTCCTCTTACATAATTAACAACGTCGCACACCAAGAGTTTTTGATCCAACAATTCAGTGTTTTTGGATTAAAAAAAAAGAACAAATCAACTCGCATTCACACGACTCTTCTGATCGTTGTAATTGGCATTTCAGACGTTTACTATAATTAACAGGAAGATATGACGAGAGCGCTTAATTTTCGCAGAAACACAAAAGTACGGTGTGGCTAGAGAAAAGAATTTTGACTTTTATTTATTTATTCTGATTAGCAGCTTCGAGCTGTTTTAATTTCCTTTCCCAAGTCAAAATTCTCCTTCATTAGTAAAAGTTCATTTTCTGCTCACTCGATTGTCGAAGGAAACCAAATTTTTTATTATTATTTTTTTAATTCCTTTCATTTGTTGTTTTACTCCACGGAGTAAAGAGAGGGCAGAGATATGCATTTTGAGGAGGGTGGCGGCCTCAGCCCTGGTTGCTGTGCTCCTCGGACTCGGGGGCCATGGACAGGTCCTGCGCCACGTCCTCGTCCTCCTCTTCGTCCTCGGACATGCCAAGACTCGGCGCCGCCTTGCGCTCGTCCTCCTTGTAGCCGTCGTGGCCGTCCATGTCATCGCCGCTGTCCTCCATCGGGTGCTGGCCGCCGTGGTGGCCGCCGTGCTCCAGCATTTCGTGTTTTATCAGGTGCGACAGACTCGCCGCGCCGCCCAACATGCCGTTCTCACTGAGCATCTGGCTGCCGAGCAAGTGGCTCGGCTCCTGCTTGATATGCACGCTGTCCATGCTCGACCTGACAGAGGGGCAAAATTTTTCAATTAATAAATCATTGAATTTATAGACAGCATCAACATATTTTAAAAAGAAGTCAAAATTGTGCTTACAAAGTATTATGTTGCCATGTTTTTATTACAGTTTCTTAATTATTGTAATGAAATTGATATTTAGGAACAGAGGACATATTAAACTAAAGAATTTACATTCCAAAGGATTGATTTGAGTGATTGAGATGACAAAATTTAAAAGAAAAAGATTTGAATTGCATTTTGCGTGTCAAAAATTAAAATATTAAATTGAATGATTTAACAATAAATTTATAATTACGTTAATATATTGATCAAAAAGAAAATTTATAAAATAAAATTTAATTATTGTAATATTTAAAAACATGCTTAAATATATTTTTAAAACGAAAAAATAATATATATTTTACCTGTTTAGTATTAAAAACAGATACAAAATTTCTAGGCTCCTTCTCATTTTAATGAGGAATCCAAATTTCATTTTTTTAATTAAATTCACACCCACTGATATAAGTTTCAATTCATAAAAAATAAATATTTATCTGTATTTTTTTTATGGATTTTTATTTTAAATAAATAATAATACAATTATCAATTTCTAATGCATTGTGAGAGAAGCATTTTTATTAAAATATTTGTTTTTTGCTGATTTTGTGAACCAAATTAAATAACTTTCAAATGGAATTGTTATTTAAATTTGATTTTCTTTGTATAAAAAAATGACATATTTTCCATGAAATGACAATATTAAATAATAAACTGTTCTCTCAGTAAATCTTAATTATCGTTTGTTCAATTTTTGTTCAGAATATTCATTTCTTTTTAAACAAATATATATGTTGCCTCAAATAAAAGTCTTTAAAATTAGAGGCACTCACCTCAGTTCAACTGGGGGAGACGGTCCCTTGTCCGGACTGGACGTTGGTGCCCTGTTCATCCCACTATTCAAGAAGGGCAGGTTGCTGTCAGCCAGTGCAGCCTAAAAAATATTTATTACAATTTGTGGCCAAATTTCTACTACCGTTTTTTTGTACCTCCGAGTAATTCTCATGGTAAAACTTTAAAAGGAGCAAATACACACAATCAAAATTCGTCTACTGGCAATTTTTAATTTTTGTAAAGTAACACCAACCTGCAGACTGGCGTTCAGAGCGTCGCCGTACAGAGTGGGGCTTTGCGTCATCGTGGGGCTTTTCGACTGGACTCCCCTGCGAAAATTCAAAACGATTAGGAATCTTCGAAGTTGAGATTGTTTAGATATTTTTTTCTTCTAACTAATATATATAAGCACATCGAGATTTTAAAAAAATTGAAAGAGATAAAAAGAGAGAAAGAGAGGTAAAAAATCTAGCCTAACTGTGCCGAGAAAACTTACCGCGACTCGCGCTTTCGAATTTTCTCACGAGCGTGTAAGAGTGTAAAATAAGCGCCGAGTCGGTGGGAATTTTCGTCCATTTCACATGGAAAATATTCGCCGACTCGGTCGCGTTTAGGAGAATTGGAGAAATTTCAAAAAGTGAAAGGAAGCCGGCAGAATGTTCTCAGTTGGCCCAATTACCTTTTGCGCAGCAGCTCTGGCTTTAGGAAGCGTTTGGCAGTTTCAGTCCGACTGACTTTCAGGCAAAAATCGGAAAAATGTGAAAAAAGAGTGTGGAAATGGCCAGCTGAGACACATTTTGTTGCTCCCGGACGAAACCACATTGCGCACCATGGATCGGATTTTCTTTTGGAGAAAAACCAAAGTCCGGTGTTTTGTTTCAATCGCAATGCGCATTTCTACTTTAGAGCAAAAAGAGAAAGAGAAAAATATGCAAAACATGTTTAATGGAAAAATTTTAAAATTAATCAATTTTTCCATTACTTTTCAGAGTAATACTTATTCCTCGTTTTTGCTTGATTTTTAGATTTTTTCGAGGCGGGGGGCAGTTTGGAATTTTTTCGCTTTACAGTGTGTGTGTTTCTGTTTGCAATTTATTTTTAGACCTAGGCCCTAAATGTGAGAAGATATGACGAAAAAATCATGTCAATAATCATATGAAAGAGAGATATGAGGCACAATAAACCGGAGAAAAATTCGCATGTATCAAAATCAAAAACAAATCATAACGAGAGAAGAGGAAAATGTGCTTATTTTCATTTCGAACAGATTTCACCTTAATATATTGCAATAAAAATTGTTCATTTTGAACGCCACGATGCAAACAACAATCTAACTCTAATCTTTTCTAAACATTCACATTTTTTTTTCGACTGCTAAAAACTATTTCGCTTTTGCATCGCCAATTTCGATTCGCATGGCAAAATCATAGCCAAAATCAATATTCAAAAAAAAATTATATATACTCGGTTTTCTATTCAATCTAGTCATTTTCGGTCAGGGGTGGAGTGAAAGAAAGAGCTCCTTTTTCGGAAAAGTTAGAGCACTGAAGGCGAAAAGAAAAGCAGAGATAGAGAGAAAGAAAAAAAAGAAACATTTAAAAGATCAAGGGATTCCATACATTCATCAACACTTTTGGCAGAGGTGCAAGTTTGGGTTTCGAGCAGCGCATTTTGGTTGTCAATTTGAGATGTTCGTCTCAAATCGGCGTTGATTTTAATTAACATATAATTTTATGTACACTGGAATGCTGCGTTTCGTCTAATCGCATCACCCACTATGATTATAACATCGATCTACGGGAAAAGCGGCAGAATATCTGCAGAACCATCGTCGTTTTTAACGACATTAAAGTGTCCGTCAGCAAAGGTCAAAGGAAAAAAATCATTTTTAAAAGATGCATTATACACTTAAGGGGGGCTAAAATGTGACCAACATCGAGTGCAAATCTAATTCAAAGCACGATCATCTCTTTTTTTATGTTCAAAAAATATAATTTAAACAAAAATTTTTTGTAAGCTTCGCCAGGATCGTTGTAAAATTCATGCAGCTAGTTTGATTCTGGCCAAACGTCAACGTTCAATAGCATTATTTATTATTTATACACAAACTTTATTTCGACTTGCTTGAGGAGGAGATTGTATTTGAACCAAAAAATTTAATACTTTTTGAAATTTTGATTTCTCTTCGTCCTAACCTCAAACAAGTCAAATTAATGCAACTAAAGTGGGTCAAAAAATGAAAACTTCTGTCGCATTTTTCAAAAGCAGCAGAGCGGATGAATTTAACAAATGAAATTATATATTGGATCTAAAATAAAAACCGAAACGGGGAGGGTAAAAAAAAATTAAATCAGGATTTATATATGAAAAAGAGCGAGCGTTCATCGTTTTATATTTTCGTTCAGGTTTTGGTAGATGTAAAGAATTTATTTATATATATAAATTTTTTTCGTATCTATAAAAAGAGATTGTTGGTGCTTGCTTACTGTGCGGACAGGTGGGGTGGAGTGGGTGATGGGGTGGGGTCATATTTCCGGGGTCGACCACGGGAGAGATGGCGTCGTTTGACAAATTCGGCGTCATCCACCATCCAGAAGGAACCGAAGTCATCCTCATAACGCACAAAACACTTGTGCAGTGAGAGATTGGTGCGAATCGCGTTCTGTATACACACACCACCAAGAAAATAGAGAAAAGTAGAAAAAAAGTACAACAGCATTTTTTGTTTGGTTTAACGTTAAATTATTCGCCCAAAAGTAGCTTCACTTGCCAGCTAGAAAGAATTAAAGTCCCTATAAAAAAACCTATTTTATAGAGTTCGGGGGGCGGGGGGGTTTGTCTCCGTCGGTCCTTTGTCGAAAATTTTCGCTTCACTTGCGTGTCTAATTCAAATATATACGAGTGTACAAAAAGCCTCTAGCCTTCCTTTTTAAGCAGCAACACATATTTTGAGATTTGACTCTTGTGGGTACAACCTGCCTCGGACTGTTCGCCCTGTTTTCCGATTTCCGGCCTACCTAACCTGCGTTTGGCTGCTGCTGCTCTGCATTTTTTTGGTATTTTTGGTTGCGTTTTTGAGTATATAGTGTTAAAAAACATGCAGTTAGTATAATATATATATGTTGTGAAAAAGAGTCAAAAATAGATGCACACACAAAAAGCCAAAAGTGTATAGTGGAGAGACACGTGTAAATATAATTTCAACAAAGTCGAAAAATATATGGTGTCGATTGCTGGTTTTACAACTCTCACAACACACTGGTACACACACAGAGTATATAATATGAAAATACAGAAAAACCGTGAATGATATACAAGAATGATTAAATGGTATAAAAATACGAGAAAAAGAGAAAGAGAGATCAAAAAGAGATCAAATCCAAAATCATGTTTGCCTTTTTAATTTTTTGGTACATAAAAAGGAGCTAGAGGTGCGACGGCGCAACTTATTCACTTTGTGGAGAATTTCGAGCGAAATAAGTTGGCGCGCGTTTGCTTTTTTGCTTGTTTGTTTGAAAATCGCTTGCAAAAATATTCGCAATCATCACACTCTGAGAGGTGCGTGATCTGGTTGGAGGTTAGACATACCCTGTGGAGCACCTTTGGGGACGCCGCTTGTAAAACTCCACCTCGTCCACGGTCCAAACAGCTCCCTTGACGTTTTCCACCCTCATAAAACATTTGTGGAGAGAGAGGTTGTGTCGAACTGCGTTCTATACAAAAAATAATATACAAAAATAAAAACACTGAAGCACAATGCAAAAATCAAAATGTTTGTTTCAATTTTCATGGGATTATTAGAGAATGTCTAGAATTGAGATAAGGGTTTGTTTCGGCGGAAATCCAGCCTATGGTCAGGGCCTGAAACTTCAGTTTTTCGTTCGTACACTAAGTGACATCAATTCTGAACAACTATCATGCAAATTAACCTTTTTACAGCTCTACTTGAATTATTGAAAATAAATTATAATAAGCTTGTATATTTTTCGTTTTTTTGCTTCGTGCATTGAGGTCACTTTGACCTAGATAGAAATTCGACCATGCAAGAAAATAATAATTTTTATTCATTTTATTTTGGTATATCTATTGAAGCCTTGCACAATCAGCTAAATCTAATTTAAATAAGAAGCAACGAAATAATTTTGTTACCTCTACTCTTGGTATTGAACAAAAAGTTTTTATAAGTTATGATTATAAATTGGTGAATAATGTTTGTACAAAACAAAAATTTGTCTAGAGCGCTTTCACGTGAGAAAAGCCTGGATGAAGTGTACAAAATTTTTATTAAAAGCGAGTACGAGTAATTGCTGGAGAGAGTGCGAAATTATCTGCGTCCTGCAAATTGCTAGATGTGGAAAAAGAGTTTTTTTTAAATTTGCTGACTTTATTGCGAGTGGCGAAAACTGTGAGTAATGAAAATGACAGGAAAAAGACACTGTACCTTCCAGGTTGCAGCGTTCCGCCTGAAGTAACAGAAGGTGTTTTGGAACCAGTTGTAGATTTCGTTCAGCGTCAACTGTTTGTCCGGAGACTCGATTATGGACTGCGAATTGAAATTATGTAATTGAGTTTTTTATTTAAAGGGTTTGAAAACTTTCAGAAAATCCAAATTTCATATTCGTGATCTGAATAGACCTTTTATTAACGATTCCAATGCTATAAAAAATGTTTTCAGACAAAAAATTGATTGATTAAAAAATTCCCTTTTTTTGTCCAAAGCAATTCTCTGATAATATTTATTGGAATCGTTAAGCCAAGTTCTAAAAGGCATTTAAATATGAAACATAAATTTTTTGAAGGTATTCAAACCTTTTTTAATTACTTTTTCTAGAAATACCTGTCTGATGAGCGATGCATAGGTGAACGGAGGTCTGACGTCGGCGTTTTTGTAGAACTCCCTATTTCTCTGGATTTCTAAAAATAGCACCATAGATTCAAAATCTTTGCAAAGTTTTTTATCAATCGGTTTCAGTTAAAATCTTCCTGATTTTGACTCTTAATTTTTACCTTGTTGTACATCAAGACCTGCCCTTTCCAGCATGTACGGAAGCCCTATTAGGGCAGCACAAACAAGACAAAAAAATTCACAATTGAGTTCCCAGAAAATTAAGTTTAAAAAAATTACACCAAGGGATATTCAATTCAATTACTTTAGAAATTTCAAAAGCCAAGAAAAGAAAACCGAACTTAATGGTAAGTTCAAAGAAAATAAAAAGGTTTCGTACGTGACTCACCGCCAGCCAGGGACAAGGACGATTTATCACTGATTCTGCGGCGGATGGGGCCGCCCATGGTTGGGGTCGGCGGGTGCAGCATTGGCGACCGCGCCGCCGACACCAGGGGCAACATCGGCGGGGCCACCGAGACTGGCTGCTGCTGAGGCGGCACCTGCGGCTGCGACAGGTTCGTGGCAACTACGCTGGAGGAAAGGTGCAGTTTGGCCAGGGATCCTGGCGACGGGTTCTGGTAATAAACAACAGACTATATGAATTACGTTTAACATTGCCCATCACTCATGTGATTAAAAAATTAAAGTGGTAAACAAATTAATGCTGAAAAAAATTAATTTGAAAAGAAATAATTTATTGATTTTTTTTATCAACTTAATTAAATTTTATATTAAAAATTAATAAGTATTTGAAGGAAAAATTTACCCTTGGCATTTCATTCTTGGCCTCATTGGCCATTTGCTGCTTGGTCATGTGCAAGTGTTGCATCATAGCTTGCAGCCTGTCCCTCTCCTTTTGCAACTGCAGCTCCAGCTGGGACACAACTTGCATCTGCACTCTTGCTTGAGCGGTTGATCTGTCATCCAAAATGTGCTCTGTGTTGAGATGACTGCAAATAACAATTATTTTATTACAATTTTATTTCAAATTCCAATTATAAAATAAAGTCAAAATTCAATTAAAATACAAATTAAAAATATCCCAAAGTAAAAAAATTAAAACGAATTTCTTTATAATTCAAATTTCTGGCAGAAATTACAGGTTTCAGAATGATTCTGTTATTTTATTTAGATTTAGCCACTTTTAATTTATGCTTTAGATCGCTTTAAAAATGCAAAACGATCAATTATCTGGAAAAAATTCAAAATTGAATAAAAACAGAAATAAACGTTTTCTTCAGCATTTCTGTGCACATATCTAGTAAAACCATCAATTTTTATTAAATTTTTTGGGACTTTTATGATATTTTTTCTTTATTCGAGTAAAATTGAATATAAAATTCTATAATTTTTATTTAAAACTTAAACATACTTGAAAAAGGCGTCTGCGTCTTCACAGATGGTCTCGCAGCCGGGCCACTTGCACACCCCGTGACCGTACAGGGGGTGTTTCTCGAGGGTGGACGCGGCGGCCGCTTCGGGCGTGATGCCGTTCATGCCCTCGCGAGGTCCGCCGCGGTGGCCGAGGAGGCCGTTGAGTGGCGAACTCTTAGGGTGTTCGTGGTCGGGACTTTTGCTGCTCGGCGCCTCCTTCCAAGGTCCTTCGGGAGACAAACCTGCGGAGCCGAGACCAATTAGCTGGAGGGCTTCGACGGATAATTAATAGAGGGCAATTATCGGCTCGACTTCCTTGCGAAGAGTAAAGAAAAATGGGGAGCAAAGCAAGGGGTCGGCGGCGTTTCTCGTTAGCGAGACTTGCTGACCATCGCCCGCGGCTATTTGCATCAATAATGGCTGTGCTGATTGCACTGAGAAGCATCCCTACTAGTTTACGAGGGGTTGAAAGGGGTAGTTTTGAGGAAAGTCAAGTCAGTTACAATTTTTTTTCATTTTGTTTCATGAATACAAAGAGATATTATTTAAATTTAAATGACTATTTTTAATATTAACGCCAAATTCGATTAGTTAATTTCTATGTCAACTGCACTTCCCATTAATTTTGCAAAACTTGAAGCTCAAAAATGTAAGACTGTGCACAAATTTTATTTTCGTGAGAATTATCCCATGAATTTGATTATATTCCATGATATCAGCTCAAAATTTTTTTTATCAATGGAGAAGTTGAATTTGTAGCTTCAATCTGGGTAGATTTGACTTTTATTCTGAAAAATTCTTAAAGTTGGATAAAGTAATTTGACTGATGGCTGGCGGTCTTTGTATTGTTTTGTTTTTATTTTAGCTAAAAGCTCTCTCTCTGTCGGCGGCGTTAATGGAAAGTTGCAATTTGAGCAACACAACGGCCAAGTTTGATTAATATTTTTCATCATCCGCGATTGTTTATTCTATGTAATTTAGCCAAAAAAGGGTTGGCAGAGCAGCCCGGCGGACGGACGGGCGGCGCCAGTTTTCGCATTAACGGGGTGGCAGTTGTTTGTCTTGTAAATTTTCTTCCTGATTGTCTTCTCTTCTTCCGCTCTCGCTCTCATTCGAATTTTAATTAATAAAGAAAATCGAACTCGCCCGCGGCCATGTTTAATAATAACTATACTCTCTATACATCTCACGCCTCGGCTTTTAGCAGAGAGAAGGAGGAGGCCGAGGGGCGGAAAGCAATTTAAGAGTTGTAAACAGAGAAATTTGCCGCGCTGCTTTCACGGGCTCGTGAGTTTCCATTTCGGGCCGGCGAAATTGAGTGGGATGGAAAAGGGTTGTTTTCACCAGCTCGAGTGCTCGGGGGCGCCAAAAGTAAGAAAAGCATTGTTTTTTTTTTTTCAAGTATTTTAAAGAAGAAAAAGGGGTTATTTAAAAAGAAGAATTAGTTCAACTAATTTTCCAATGAATTTAAATTTAGTCCGGAATTTTTGAATCAAATTTCTATATAATCGTTAGTCTTTCAAAACAATTTTAAACAAATTTCTGCTGTGCTTTTTTTGATAAAAATCGTTTTACCATATTTTGTATTGATTTAGGTTGGAACAGAATGATATTCAAGGAATTCAAAATTAAAAAAAAAAATCCCTCGAGTAGAAGATTCAAAAATAAAATGTCTAATTTACAATATCATTTTCAGACATTTTTTTTATTTTGAAAAATTTTCGAGGGCACAAGTCTGCTCAGGACTTATAAAATTATTTTTCTAAATATCTTTGAAATTTGGAATTTTGCAAGAACCACAATTGTCATCTCAAGATATTAATTAAATTTAGATTCCTCTTTTTTTTATTGTGCAAATTTTCAGACTTTTGTTTGCTTACCTAGAGCGTCTCCTGCACCTTGAGCGACCATCATGGGCTGGACGAGGCCCTGCTGCATGATGAACTGGTGCTGAACGATGCGCAGCTGCTGCATGAGCTGTTGCTGCTGCATCGAGAGCTGCTGAAGCGGCACAGAGGCCTTCTTCTTGTCGCCACTTTGCAGCAGGTGCGACTGCTGGATCAGGTTGAGCTGCAACTGCTCCTGCAGCTGCTGCAGAACTTGCTCTAGTTGCTTCCTACCTAGCTCGGCAAACTGCTGCTGCTGCGAAAAATAAGAGACCTTTGATTAGGTCATTATGGTCAGTTTTTAATTTTTATTTTTACTAAAAGTGTTAATTCAAGGTAAATAGTACAATTTAGATAGGTTCACGGAATTTTTCAACAGTGAAATTCTATAATGAACAATGATAATTCTTACATTAAAAATAAAACTTATTATAATTAAAAATTGTTTTTAACATTTAAATATAAATTTAAACAATGCAAATTGAATTTAGTATGAATTTTTTTGCTTATTTTTTCATAAAATTTTCAATTTATTTAACAAATAGATCACTTTTTTTATTGTTTAGAAAAAGTTTTTGTATAAACAGACGTTCCTAAATAAAAAAGTTTTCTATTTGTCAAAGAAAATTGGATGTTAAGCCGGTTTGTTTGCCGGATTTTCAGCATAGCAAGTTTTTACGATTTTTCCTGTTTTGCAGTCGTGATCCTTTTGTCGAAACTTTGCTGCTCGGGGGTGAAACTTCACCTCCCTTATTTACAGTCGTTTTGTATTTTGCGAGAGCGACCCGCTTGTTTCCTTTATTCTCTCTTCGAAAAATCTCGCGTTCACGCCACATTTAACAAGTCGTGTACAATGTAATCGTATTGAAAAACGCTCACTTCGACTGGCGCCCAATGGTTTGTGCATAAATACGACGCGATTTATTCAAATGCATAAAAGTAAGCGGTACGTGCCAAACACGAGAAAGTACTCGCCGGCGATTGACCGCTCCGCTGAGGGCCGGCAAATTTCCCGTCATCAATCCATGCAGGCGACGAGTGGCGGACAAATAGCAGTTTCGGAGTGATTTTCGCTCGAGTGCGCTCACGTTCGATGCAGGGGCGGCCACGCTAAATCCACAACTTTAAATAATGGACTATAAAAATCAAGATGTATAAAAGCGCGGCAGCAGCCGGGCGCGCGCACATAAATAACCAAGGTGAGAGGGAGCGAGCGAGAGCCTGCCACTTCCGTAAGTAGGCAATCCGCTCTGCGGACGTGACGAGCGAGCTGCATAAAACATTTTCAGTGTTTGCCGAAATTGGACCAGAATTCGGGTCCCTTTGGAGAAGTTCAATTCATGTTTGACAGTGATCAAGACTAATAATAATAAAGAAAGACCACCCAAATTTTATGGAAATGAACTCAATTTCAATGGTAAAAAATCTAGAATTATCAATTATCCAAATAAAGTTGATTTTGCGCAAAAAAAGGTCCTTTTAAAGATTAATTTTATTTATAAAATTTTTAGAAATGATTTAAAATTTATTATATATTAATTATAATTTTGTTCTTAAATTCGTGGCAACTGGCAGCTCTGATTTTCAAAGAAGACGAGACTCTTAAATTTGTTTTCAATTAGAAAACTAATAATACTAGAAATAATAATAATTGACAGAAAAAATCTGCAAAAACTGTTGAAAACGATAAAGGTTCAACAATAGTCCAGAAAAAACATCTCAAAATAATTGGAAAATTGAAAGAACGTCTCAAGATGATTAATTTTTTAAAGTGGATTTTGGTCTCATGATTTGAATTAGACACAATTTGCAAATATCTGTTGTCAAAATTCATTTTGAATGAAATTATAAAGAAAAAATACCTCTTTCTTTGCACTATTTATCAGACACATCAAATAATTATGCTGCATGATATTCTTATTAAATATGGTATTAAAATCTAAATTTGTAATTCCAGTTTTGTGTTTATAAAATGTTTCAATTTCCTGCCTAAAATCACCTAATATATCATCTCTTCCTGTCACGAAATTTTCACAAAAATATTTGAAAAAAAAAATCCAATAAAATTAACCCTAGTAGGCTCTCAATCTTTCAAGATAATAAATAAACCCTTTTTCCCCCTGAATAGATTTAAAATATAAGTAATTATAATGGGATAAAAATTTATTTTCCTTTGAATTTTATAGTGGAAAAATAACATTAATTTCCTACTCAAAGTTTTGTCCTTTTTTTATATTTTTAACAAACCTGCTGTTGTCCCTGGGAGAGGAGGATGGCCTGCTGGAGGGACTGCAGCTGCGCCGGGCTGAGGATGTGCTGCTGCAGCACCTGCTGCATCTGCTGCAAGCCGGGCGACATCATCTGCTGGAGGCTGGGCGGCTGCTGGTGGCTGGCCGAGAGAGGTGGCGGCGACTTGCCATTGCTGTCGGGGGTGGCCGGGGTCGCCACTTTGATGCTCTTGGGCTCGTTTCCGCCTCCGGGCACCGGCGAGCTGCCTGATGCCGCCTGCTGCGGGTTCTGGTTCGGGGTGCTTGGCGCTTGGGCCGCTGGGGCGGGGGCGGCTGCTTGCGGCTGCGACTGCTGCGGCTGGCTGCCGGTCTGTTGTTGTTGTGCTTTCAACGCCTTCGCTAATGAGGATGCCTGAAACAGAAATTGCAAAAAAATTGAACAAAAGATTACAAATGCAATTATTATTCATAACAACTTAAAAATAAAATTTGACATCTAAAAAAACTTTATTACTTTATACTAATATTAAAAAAAAATTTCTGTCAGTTTTATTAATTCTATAAATTAAAATTTATTTATTACTATTTTATTTTAATTAATTCTCATTGATAGTTTTAAATAATACTTAACTTTGAATTTATCATTCAAAAAATCTTTCCATTAAACTTGAGATTTATATAATTAATCAGGTCTTTCATAATATCTGTTTAAAAACAACTAACGTCGTGCGATTGAATTCAGATTATTTTAATTGTTTTTTTTTATTATTTAAAATTCTTAGAACAATTGCAGCAATTTTAGAGAAAAATTGTCTGAAAGGGAAACTTTTGGGCAAAGACTTAACAGCACCATCAGAATTGCTTGATAATTGTTTTGTTTTTATTTCCTAATTTTGAATCATTTCTCTTAACGTTAATTTTTATTGCCACACAAATTTCACCGTCAAATCGATTCCGATGCAACTGCTTTTATTGCCCTCTCTGCCAATTCTCGTCGCGACTGCCGAGTATATTGTTTGGCAAAGAGTCTGCCGCTGATATCTTTCAGCTCTCTCGTGTCCTCTCTCCCCACATAGCAATTTTTTGCTGGCCTCGCACTGCAAAGGTCAGTTTAGTGGTCGTCCATCGGCGATTGTTCAGATTGTTGTCGACAGATTTGAGACGCAGAGCAAACAGCAGCTTCTCGAGTGTATTTGTTTGCTGCTTTCTGTTTGCAATTTCTTGTAAGCGGCTTTTGTGTGGAAGACGGGAAGAGAAAGATTGAAAGCAGGAAAGGAGTTTTATTGCTGCTGACGTCTCACTCCAGAGACAGATCATTGGAATTTTTGAGGATTTAGAATTCCTTTTTTTTATTAATGAAATTGGTAAATAAATAAATTAATTGTCGTCATCAGATGAATTTTAACAATGTATTGTGTCAATCAGTTTCAATGTGATAAATAAACAACAGCAATAAATATAGTGGACCGATTGATACTTATTGAAAAATGTTCTTTATTCATAAAATTCATGTAATAGAAACATATGAAATAAAAAAAATTCAATTTTTTTAGAAATGTAATAAATATCAATTTTGAAACAGAATAAATATAATAGAAAAGTAATAAAAGTTTATAAAATGTACAGTGATTATATTAACAAATAAAATTTAAAAAAAAAACTGTTTTAATTTATTTTAAAAATAATTTTTATGCATAAAATTATTTAAATCTAAAACTATATTATAAATTTATCTTTAAGTTGCTTTAAATTCTTTCTTTTGTAACGTTTGATTTTGATGAATTGCATTTTTTTTTGCCAGTGTTTACAATTAAACCTCGGCGGAAAAAAGCAAAGCAGCAAAAACGAGGGGAGCGCAAAGTCGGTGCGCTTCATTTGCAAAGGGACTTCGGCTCGCCGAGTTCATTAGTGGCAAAAGCGAACGGGGTATACTTCTGTACCATTCTTGCATATTAAGCAACTCCGGCGGCCGGAGCAAAATCAATCGGGGCTCGATAAAAAGCAGACGAGAGAGGCAAAGGAAAAAATCAGAGGGGCGAACGAGACATCCGCAAAAAGAAGAAGAAGAAATTTTTCCCTGTTTTTATTGTCCCTCTCCGTATATTTCACACTTCTGGTGTTGCCGCCGGGATTATTATATTATACATTTTTTTCTGGTGTTATTTTCCTTGGCCGGCGTTTTGCTGAATGGACAAGATTTTCTTCCTTCTTTCTTTCTCGGAGGCATTACATTATTGTACTATATTTGCGAGTATATGTGTTGCCATCGCCAACATCTGTCTCGGCCGGACAATGACGCGAATTCTGCTGACTCTCGATCTGCGCAGACCATCCATTGATGGCCTTTAAAAAATAACACTATGCGCCTCCTTTTTTTATTTATTCGTTTTCGTTTTGCGCCATCGCAATATTTTCCGCTATTATTCTCCGCAGCCGCACTCTCGGCCGATAATGGCATCTGCGGACCAAACGCTGCTGACTCAAGCGCAAGCTGTCGCATAATATTCAACACCATAACTCCCCTAACATCGCAAAGAGCAGTGGTGCGGCTGCTGCCGGAGAGAAACACGCGGCCTCCCTATTACTTGCTGCCTCAGGTGCATATTTCTGAATAAAAAGGCGATAAAAATAATTTGGTGAAAATATTTAGAAATCGTAAGGCAAGCAAAATTCAATACGTGTTAGTGAAGATGTTGTCGTCGTTTTTAAAAATTCCAACTTAAACTTGACATCTTCAGAAAGACGAATTAAATTTTGCGGTAATCCTTGATTTAAAAAAATTGTACAACTTCAACTTGACGTATCAAATCTTCAGAAAGATGTTTTGAATATTACATTAGTCGCTGTTTTTAAACAATTTTGCAACTTCAACTTGACGCATTAAAAAGAATTAAATTTTTATATAGGCTTGGAATTTGATTAAAGTGTCAGTTATTAATTGTTAGCAAACAAATTAATCGAGATTTGAGAAAATTCACTATTGATAGCTGATTCTTTTTCAATCTTTTGTGGAAATAATCTCGCCAAATCAAGTAAAGATTAGGGAAGGAATTAAAATCGAAATCTGCTTTTAAAAGAGATTTTGATTAATTAAAATAAGAATTTTATTATGAATCAGTTATAAATAATTAAAATAAATAAATTCAAACTAATAAATTAAAGTTAAGTGACTCAAAACATAATTAATGAAAGATTTAAATTAGAATTAAGAATTTTCATTGAACATTAAAGTTTAATAAAGTAATTCAGCAATTGAGGCACAGATTTATATGATCTGCATTTTTTTTTCAAGAAACTTTTACCACTTTAATTCTTTATAAATTCCATAATTTTACCAAAATCTAGTTCAGAAATTGCCAGTAATTGATTTTCAACTCTGGCTCTGTATACGTAACAGCCGAAAATCACAAGCAGCATTTTGTTGATAAAGCGCCCTCTTCATAATTCAGTATCAATTAGAAGCGGCTTTTCGGCCCGTAAATTATGCAATATTTTATTATTACCGCAATAATAAAGACGGCGGCGTTAACGTGTAGCTCAACGATGATGATGATGTTTGTAGTTGGCATGCAGAGTAGCAAGCCTTTCAAAAGCACGTGAGCGCACAATGGCACGTGTGTACATACATTTATCCTGCAGAGAGCAAGCAAGCAAGCAGGCTGCGTGCATGTGTGTTGTAATAATAAAGAAGCAAAGATGCTATTATGCGGCATTATTCGCGAGGAGAGCGAGAGGATTCAAACTGAAGGGGGCTGTTTTGTTGCCGCCAGAGTCGAGCGCGAGGGTAAACACATGAAATGCACGTTAAAATTTTGAATATAAAAAAAGGAAGGGGAAATATTTTTAGGGACTTGCGTACGTTTAAAAAAATTAATTTGTTTCCACAAAATTATTTTAATTATGACGCAATTTTATTGCTAATACTTTGAAAATATATTTAATTTTACACAAAAATCAGAAATAAATTTTAAACTTTTTTTAGAAATTAAAATTAAACATTTTGTTGTTTAATTGTGTACATTGTTCCATAATATTATTAAATTTTAATTGTAATAAGTTATTTAAAATACAAACGGATTTAATTTAAAATAAAAATAAAAATAATTAAGACACTTATTATTTTTATTTTATTTTTAATTGTATGCTTGATACGTATTGTTATTTATTATATTATTTATATAATAGAATTACATAGTTAAAATTTAAATTATCAAATCAAAATATTTTATTAGACACAAATGTGTACAAAATTTAAATTACAAAATATAAATTTTTCTTAATCGTATTTATTTATTCAGTTGCAATTATTAATTGTAAAACTAAACATGTAAATATTATTACAAAAAGTAGATGGAAAAGTTTATAATTTTTTTTGAAAGCTCCTTCCGATTAAAACTTGGATAAAGTGAGCAGTTTATTTCCATCTCTTATTCTTTTCTCTTCAAAAGAAATCCGTGCTCGGCGCAAAATCCGACGTTTCACAAGGGAAATCCATTTACGTTTGCGCCGGCACAATACAATAACTCACCAGCTGAGCTGCAAATCTTGATTGTTTTTCCCTAATTGTAAAAACAGCTCGCTGTGCGCATAAAGCGAATAAGCATGAGAGGGAGTAAAAAATAAGGAAAGGCAGCAGGTTAATTTGCATTTATTTTTGCCCTCTCGCAGCCTCGTAAGCTGCTTCTGTCATGTTTCGAGTGCATAAAATATTTCAAGAGCTCTCCCTGTTTTTTGCGTATCAACACAGCAGCGAGAGAGAAAGGCGCGAGAATTTATTTGCCAGAGAGAAAGAGAGATAAGCAAGATTTATATCGCGCGCATCGGATTTAATTCACTTGACTGCCGCCCAGGAAAATAAGAAACAAGATAAAATGTCGCGACTTTTCTTCATAACACACTTTCAAAAGGAAAAAATAAATCTTCAAGGAAATCTCCAAATTTAAAAATAAATACAAAATTTATTAAAATCCACAATGAATGATAAAAATTGACTTTTTAGTACTTAATAAATTTTATAATATATTTCACATTTTTTCCAAATAAAAAATGGGAGCTTGAATCACTCAGGAACTTTCAAGAGTTTCTTTCAAGCCACTCTCTCATAATTCTTTATTTTTCTTCCGTGTTTTAATTAAGGACTTTTAGCTCTCGTTCGTCATTTCTTAAGTGGGAGTGCGCAAAAAAGAGGGGCGGATTAAGAGGGTGCGTCGCCTCTGCGTTCTCTCTGAAGCCGTGGCCGAGGAGATTTATTTTTTATTAAAAAGTTCGGGATCGGAATGAATTTTAATAAGTCAATGTAACACCTTTCCTCTCTCGCCGGCTTACCGAGGCCGGTTGGCCGCGGCGGCGACTTTTAAATATTAAAAATCTTAAGCTTTTAATTTCCAGAGAGAACTTTCTTTCTTTCTTTCC